CTTCTGCCAAGCTGTTCTAATGAATACAGAAATACAGAAAGTTAGATATAGTGTTTGTCAGCCTAAGATTGACATTTGATGAGTCTGTTTTGGCTTTTTTTTTTTTGTTCAAGTATTTTAATTTTTAAAAAAAATCAGTATTTTTTCTCTTAGTAAGTTATGTGTCAAAAAAGAATAGTGAAATGAATCCTTCTAGGCTTTATTCCAAGCCCTCTTAATACTGGAGCTAGAGTGCAGTGTGTTTTATTCATGGAGCGCAAGTTCAATTAATCTGGTTTTCCAGAGTCTGCAAAACACAGCAGGGAAAGGCAGAGCTGCTCAGTGCTGGACAGCTTCACACAGCTGCAGTGTTGCTGTTTGCCTGGGAGAGCTGCAGTGTGTGATCAAGTCCCATCTCCAGGTGATGGCCTCTGCAGTTGCTGCCTGATTCTTGTGTTATTCCTTTGGGCTAGTGAAAGGTATTTTTTCCTTGCACAGTACCATCTAGAATTTGGGCCTAATTAGGATGCATGGATAAAAATTGGAAAAATGATAATTTTTTTCTAGATGTCAGCCCATTTTTAAAGTCTCATTTACTTTTTTAGAAGCAGTATGCAGTCAAAATCAGAGCTGGTCAAAAGTTTTCCCACTAATGCTGTTCCTGTTGGAAATCACAATCTGATGGAATTTGAAGCATTTCTATGTGAATTATCCTTAGGCTTTTTGTCAAAAAGATGGCAGTCAAAGCCTGCATAGTTTTCTTTCAGCCAGTTCAAGTGGACTCTGTACCTCACTGGAGCAATGAGCACTTTCAGACATGTCAAGTTTTCTTAGAGTTTGAAATGGTGGTTTCGGCGTATTTTTACTCAAAACTGCATCTGATTAGCAGCATGTACATGAACAAACTGTGCTGAATGCTGTGCTAAGGTCTGCCCCATTACCATTTTGTAAGAAATAAAAGCATTTATTGAGTGAGTTAACCATGTCCTGCAGCATAGGACCTTTCTTGTAGAGTTTTTAAACTGCTGGTCAGGTTGTTCTAGTGGGAACTGGGTGAAACTAAGCACATCTGTTGAAACTAGTGTTGTAGCTTTCTGATGAGAAGAGTAAAGGATACAAAAAAACATGTAAAGTGATTCTAAGTAATATTTTCTTTCCTTTAGCTGTCTCCGTAATGAGATACAGTGCATCATCATTTGGATTTGCTGTAAGTAGAGTCACAACTTAAATATTCTCTTTTTTTCTTTTTTTTTCATGGTCTTTTTCTGAACATGGAATACTGAATTTTTTCTTCTTTTAAGTCCATGGGAAGGTGTGCAAAGTTAATGATGGATTAGAAAATATACTGTTGATACCTCAGAATGTCATACCTCAGAGAGGATAGCAAAGATACTTTCATTATACTTTTTCAGTTTCTGATTACTAGGTCTTGTATGTGAGTTAATATCAATACTTACACATCATCAATAATTGATACTATCCACCAGATAAAGTTTCCTTGCAGAAAATCTTAGCTTGATCAGTTCTGTTGTTGAACTTGAACCAAATTCTGAAGTTTACTTCTGAACTTTGCATGAGCCTTTTCCTGTTGAAGTCTGTTCCTAACAACAAGCAAAACGACTGATTTCAAACAATTTATCTTTTGCTTTCAAATTTGGAGGTTAGATTGACCCTGTAAGAGGTTTATCTTTAGATTGAAAGTTCTTCCAGTGGGACAAGCCTGGATATTGGTGTTACCTGACATCATGTCTTCATTAACTGGAAATACAAACACAGCAGTTTTGCTGGTGATGCGGAAGAAGATGTAATCTTGATACAATGGGATTTTGAAAAAAAAGTATTTGCTTGGTTTGAAACAAAACTTTCTATTGCAGAAAATTAGTGACTTTGCAGGAAAAAGGAATGCTTGACAGATTTTAAAAGACTTAAAAAAAAATTAGAGTATTTGGATAAGAATCATATTAATACTTTAACTCTTGTGGGATCACAGTGGCAGATTGTGGTGGATTATTTTTTTTTTTAACTTCTCCACAGGTGATAGATTACAAATAGAGAGTTTTTCCTCCCTTGATTGACTTCCTGAGCTCTGAAGTGTATCATTGTGCAATAATACATGGCAAAAATGTGAGGATCAATTTAACAGATGTAAATCCTGCTTTCATTAAGATGATGTATTTGCAGCTGCTTTGTGCCTGTGCAGCAGGATCGTAGATGTATCACTGTTAGCTCAGGGCTCATTTAATGGCCCACAAAACAACTTACTCTGCATCTCTTTCAGTTTGATGCTACGCTGGATGTTTTGTCATCAGCGATAGTTCTGTGGCGTTACAGCAACGCAGCTGCTGTGCATTCTGCACACAGGGAGTACATGTAAGTACACGTAATTACTTCTGACCTTGGTAGAGGCCTGCAGAGCTTTTGCTACAGATTCCAGAGCTTTGACAAAAAAAACATTTTGTTGTGTCAGCAAGTAGTCTTTCCATCTGCCAACTTACTGTTTGGGACCAAACATGCAGCCCTTCCTTAGACAAACCTCCCTGTGATTGTGATGTTCACTTTCTTTTTAGCAAAGATAGTAATTATTAGGGCTTTGTGATTTTTATTTTTTCCCTTGCAGCATCCGTATCAAGTGAACTGTATTTGCAATCTGTAACAGCTTTGTAAATCTTTCTTTTGCATCTTATAACATTATTTTTACTGGAGTATGTATTTAAAATGGATAGTTGTATTGTATTTGTGCTTCTCTTAACAAGATTGGAATATGAAGCTCTTCTCTTTCGATGCAAAACTGCTAGTGACAGTATTAGAAGTTGAGATTACACAACATCTGATAAGATTGAGCCTGTATTAGTGATAAGATAGTAGAGCGACACAGTTTATTTTAACTGGTATACAAAGAGAATTGAGCCTGTATTAGTGATAAGACACAGTTTATTTTAACTGGTATACAAAGAGGAAGACACACCCTTTTTATTAAACTGTCACTGTTTCGGTAAGTATCAATACTTGCATGTCTTCTTTATTGTAAAAGTGTACACTGGCAAAGTAAGCATATTTAATAGTTGCTCTATAGATCCCATAGAAAAGAAACTAATTTGGAGTGCAGTATTGTTCACGGTGGAAATTCTATCCTGCATCATTTTGCATTGTGCATCATTTCTGCTGGTAGTGCATGTGGTAGTTGAGAAGATCAGGTGGAAACTGGCTCAAGAATTTCTCCAACTAGTGCGTACAGAGGACTTTAAACTTCTACTCCAATTTTGGGTACATCTAGGTGGAGGACTACAGCTCATTTATCTGCTTTAGTTATGTTCTGTGCTGCTGTTGCTAGCAGGATCCCATCTGGCTTGTTTGAAGATAGTTCAGCTATCTCCTGGAATGGACTATTAATTTTACAATTAAGAGGCATAAGATAGTTTTGGTTCTTAAACACCTCTAATGAAGTCCCTCCTACATGAAGTCTAATGAAACTGAACTTTTTGATACCTGGTAGGATCAAGTAAGAAAAAAAGGCCACATGGAGGAGTCTGTAACTTTTGTCTTCATGATCCTTTTCTAAAAACTAAGACAACATTAAGAATGCATTAACTCAGGCTCATGCAACAGATTGACAGTGCTGTGAGTTCCTTTCTGGCAGAGCTCCATAGATAACAGTTTGGAATAAAAGGCCACAGAAGATTGGTGTGGCATTGATTCATAAAAATAAATCCAGAAATATGTGATTAAAATTAGTCTTCCTGCACAAATTTGGAGATCGTAACAGACATTTTCTGAGTATCTTGCTTTTGTGGGCGTACAAACCTCCCTGTGATTGTGATGTTCACTTTCTTTTTAGCAAAGATAGTAATTATTAGGGCTTTGTGATTTTTATTTTTTCCCTTGCAGCATCCGTATCAAGTGAACTGTATTTGCAATCTGTAACAGCTTTGTAAATCTTTCTTTTGCATCTTATGACATTATTTTTACTGGAGTATGTATTTAAAATGGATAGTTGTATTGTATTTGTGCTTCTCTTAACAAGATTGGAATATGAAGCTCTTCTCTTTCGATGCAAAACTGCTAGTGACAGTATTAGAAGTTGAGATTACACAACATCTGATAAGATTGAGCCTGTATTAGTGATAAGATAGTAGAGCGACACAGTTTATTTTAACTGGTATACAAAGAGGAAGACACACCCTTTTTATTAAACTGTCACTGTTTGGTAAGTATCAATACTTGCATGTCTTCTTTATTGTAAAAGTGTACACTGGCAAAGTAAGCATATTTAATAGTTGCTCTATAGATCCCATAGAAAAGAAACTAATTTGGAGTGCAGTATTGTTCACGGTGGAAATTCTATCCTGCATCATTTTGCATTGTGCATCATTTCTGCTGGTAGTGCATGTGGTAGTTGAGAAGATCAGGTGGAAACTAGCTCAAGAATTTCTCCATCTAGTGCGTAAAGAGGACTTTAAACTCCTACTCCAATTTTGGGTACATCTAGGTGGAGGACTACAGCTCATTTATCTGCTTTAGTTATGTTCTGTGCTGCTGTTGCTAGCAGGATCCCATCTGGCTTGTTTGAAGATAGTTCAGCTATCTCCTGGAATGGACTATTAATTTTACAATTAAGAGGCATAAGATAGTTTTGGTTCTTAAACACCTCTAATGAAGTCCCTCCTACATGAAGTCTAATGAAACTGAACTTTTTGATACCTGGTAGGATCAAGTAAGAAAAAAAGGCCACATGGAGGAGTCTGTAACTTTTGTCTTCATGATCCTTTTCTAAAAACTAAGACAACATTAAGAATGCATTAACTCAGGCTCATGCAACAGATTGACAGTGCTGTGAGTTCCTTTCTGGCAGAGCTCCATAGATAACAGTTTGGAATAAAAGGCCATAGAAGATTGGTGTGGCATTGATTCATAAAAATAAATCCAGAAATATGTGATTAAAATTAGTCTTCCTGCACAAATTTGGAGATCGTAACAGACATTTTCTGAGTATCTTGCTTTTGTGGGCGTCCACAGAGATTCCTGTCAACATTCAATTAACATATTTTTTAAAAGTCCTTCTGTTGAGCTTTTTCAAGTGAACATTGTAAAATACTTTACAGAGAAAATAAATCCCAATACAAAAGAAGGAGTATATCCCTATGGCAAAGCCAGTAAAGTGAACAACAAAATAGCAAATGTATGTTCCTGATTTTAATGCTTCTTTTTAATTTGCTTTCATATAATCCCTCTGCTTTACATAGGCTAAATTAAGTCAATTAATTACTTGCCATGCCTTCTAGTTGAAGATGGCTGAGGTTACAAGATGAGATCAATACTGAGTGAAAGAATGGTACCATATGCTGGGAATATGAATCACTGGATAGGCAGTCTGGTTATCTGTTTCTGGAATTGACAGGAGAATCATCATAGTACTGACAAGCAGAGAGATGGTTGTGTCTCTTAAGGCAGGTCTTACTGTGTCAGACTTTTGTGGGAGGCACATTTCTAATTTCCTGTTGTGTTTAATCAGTCTCTTGCTTAAAAGACTGCATGTAATTATTTTTCCTCTATGCTGGGAAAATACTGCACGACTGCTCCTGACTGATTGCTCACCTTGTAAATAATCTTTGTATTGTATGTGCCTAGAACTACACCCAGTCTGTCACAGTCCTGGTTTGTTTGTGTGCCAGTGCCTCAGTGGCGAGGTCTGCTTTCTGACTCCTGGACAGTTTTGTGCCTATTGATGTAGGTGCTTAGGTCATGCTGTGCATTATTCCTTTTCCTGTGTGCCTAAGCCATACTTTGCCTTCGTGCAGGAGCCTGTGCAAGACTTGGGGTTTCTGCAAAAGTATTGCTGCTGTTTACCACAGTAAAGTGTGCCAGAGTGACTTCAGTTTAGTTCTTTATTTATACGTGTGTCTTTTGTTGATTTAAATGTTACATTTTTCTCTGTATCCTAACATACCTGAAAATAACCTGAGGTCCTTGACAAAAGCAGAGTGGAATTGCTAATTAATTAATCCGAATTTTGATAACTTCCTGTTTCATAAACTTGACAGCAAGAGGTTGATCCAAAATTGGTTGGAATTGGTGGAAAGCCTCTCATGGAAGGGCAGTGTTAGATTCAATCCCAACTGCTTCACGTCATTGAGAGAGAACATAAAGATAGAAGAAAAAAACAAAACCCCAGAAAAAGACAAAGAAAACACAGGCTGACTCATGATGTGCTATGAATTAAATGCTTAGAATAAAATGCTAAAATGTAAAAGAACTGTGTAATCTTATTTAAGATGTAGCCAGATGGAAGTTAGAGATCCAACATTTCATGGGCAGGGTGCTCAGAATGAGCAGTATGAAACTGCTTGCTGTGCCAAGTTCTGCTAAGCATTTCCATTTGACTTTAGGGCAATTATAGTGCTGAAACTACCATGAAAATTTGTCCTGCTGAGTTTAATTAATTTTAATGGGAATAGTTCATGCTAGATTGTTTGATTTCTCTCATTTTCTGGGGCAAGATGAGAAGGTCCTTTTTCAGTGTACTTGTGACCAAAGTTATACAATGTTTTTGTATATATGTATGTTTTTGTTGATTCTCATGGTGGTTCACATGTAGTAACTGCAAAATATATTGTAACTTACCTCTGCTATTTGCCCTTCTTGAAGACTCTCATATTGATGGCCCAAGAGGCTAAACCTGGCAGGTTTTTCAGGTCTTTTTATTGATGAGAATTTTTATTAAGTCATTGTGAAAAGATATGTCTGCTCATGTTCAAGGTATGTCTTAAATTATGATGATTTTTTTTTTTTTTTTTAAATACACTGGCTTTGAAAGTATAAGGAATATTCAAGCAACATCAGGGGCAAATGACTGTAAGACTGTAGGCCATATGAGACTGCTTGATTCTGTCTGTTTGGCTCATTATTGAAAGAGTATGTAATAGTGGGATGAATATTTGATTTGTTTGTCATTGGTACTTTTTGGATAGTTTCACACTTCGCCCACTTCCTGTTTTGACAGTTGAATAATAGAGGGTAAAAACAAGATATTGCATTTTCGTGTATTTTAGAAGAATGTTTGAAAGAATTGTAGATCTTGAGGCAGTGCAAGAATTGGGAAGGACTACAGATGCCAGGAAAGAGAGTCCGAGTGCGTAGTTCACAAGTGCTTGATTTGCTCGGAGTGATCTGCTGGCTTACAGGTTAACATGCAGGAAATTTAAGGGTTCTAAATAAGAAGTCAACAAAGCAATGATCAAGAAATCCAAGCAAGAAAAGTGTGCTGAAATAACTGGAGAAATAATTTTGAATATCAACAAAAGATGCACATTTAGGACTGATTAAAATATGTGCGATTCCCTATTTTCCGTCATAAGAGGAGAAACCAAGAGGAA